GAATAGTGGTGCCATCTATGTCAAATAATTTTAATTATAATCTAGCCTATTTATTTTTACTGGAACGGATCTCAGACAAGCATTAGAAATAAAATAACGTGAGATACAAGGGCGCCCGTGTCAGACACGGGCATGTGCAAATTTTCCGGAAACTTTCGCCTGTGTGAGACACGGGCAAATGCGTTAAGGGGTTAAAGGACCAAAAATCGATTAAAAAAAACTTAAGGACCATACGACCCCTGACAGTGAAGCCCATCTAAATAAAATCATGAAAAGGGAAGAAAAAAAAATTTCTTTTGTTACGCCATGTATAAACAGATCTTTTCTGGAATGCACTGCAGCTTATTTGTTGCAAATATACTTGTAATTATAAAATTAACCCCGAAACACTGATGAAAATTCCCATATTTTAAAACTTATTTGCAACTTCTGTTCTAATTTCTTCCAATCCTATTTTTATTTTAACTTAATATTCCCATTAGATGACAAAAGAAGAAAATCCCAAATTAACCAGTAAACAATTCCGAATTCAAATTTATGTATGCCTAAGAAAACCAACTTTTAAAATAAAATGTTAAGAAAAGCAATGAAAGTAATAAATCCTTTACAATTTTATAACTTATAATAAACAAAATAATAAGTCATAAAATGGAATACAACAGCTTCCAAGCAAATAATTTTAAATGTCTTTAAGTTCTTGAAATGTACTAATATACATAAAATTGAAAGTAAAAAATATCTATATCCAGAAATAATGATTCTAACAGAACACTAAAAAGAGTTATGTATAAGAATTGGGAAAATGTATTGCAATTATATTATATATGTAATTAGATTAGGCAATTAGAATTGAAAATACATTGGAATTGAAAATACAAAGTAATTGCTTTTTCAGTTACACTGTAATAGTAATTAACAAAGTATTTGTTCAACCTAATTATAAGTACAATGTAAACTCCAATTCTAAAATATCTAATTACAATGTAATTATAACTATAGTAGGTAAAGTATCTGCTCCTTATTTATTTCTGTTACACAGCGTACAGGAATCGGATTGTAATTGAAAATTAAAATAAACGACAGTATATCTGAAATGGTTCAACATTTTGGATAGCGAAGTGGTAAATAATACAAAGCGACCAATTGCATACAACGAAATTATTAATATAATCCATATGGAATCATCCTGCATAATTTATGTATGTAATGCAGCTTATAACCGCAACATAATTACCGTATTATTCCGGAATATAATGTGCACCAGTGCATAACACACACCTATAATTTTAAACTGTATTTATTTATTTTTAAGTATGCAGTCAAAAGTCGTTAATCCGGACTCGTCGAAACTTCGGCGATTCCGGATTATAGATCATCAGTTTAAATCTGGTAAAATGGCATGCAGAAATTATAAAATTAAAAATATGAAACCGTAATTTACGAAATAAAGAACAATTATGATCTAAAGGGTATCAAAATTTACAAAAAGAAAAAGCTTAATATTTATTTGTTTACTTTATTAAACATTTCTTTCAATGTAAGTTGTTTACGTTGCTTCGTTTTTTATGTGATAATACATTCTCTTTAATTCTATAAACAGACATAATTTCTTGTTCAGTTACAAAGTTCCGCTGTTCAAGTCCTATAATTGCTGTGTCGAGAATACCGACTAATTTGTCAATGGAAATTTTTTCGTTTTCAATAACCTCTGCCACTTTCTTCGCTATCAGAAGCAAATTATAATGACGAGGCATTTGATTTAAATCATATCAAAGACGTAGTACATCGAGATGAAATACTACATTGAGTAAGGAATTATAAGCCAAATAAAATAAAAACATCTGCCCTGAAGGTAAGGATAGTGCTGACAGATCAACTTCCAATTCATTGCATGCCCCCAGGGCGTTAAAGATAAACAAAGGATATGTCTTTATCCATTTTTTTGCAGCAATTCCACTTTTTGTTTAATGGACTCCGAAAGATACTTTCGCTTTGTATATCCTTTACATATTAGTAAATATATATCGGAAATCCTATTTGACACAATCGAAAGTTCAAGCTTACTTTTATAAAATTGCTCTAACAGTCTGCAAAAAATAATAATCCGGATCCAATTCGAAGATCAAGGAACAATGCAATCTGCAACATTAACTGAAATAGATAATTAGATCATTTTAGCTTAGCTTATCCCGTCCGTTATACATTAAACGCGCTTTCGTAAACATATTTTGCGCACGCGCAAATTAGCAGCGGTAAAGGTCTTACGCGCATGCGTCAACACGCCGCGTGCGCAGAAAGTTTGTAGCTTTGAGGTCCGGATTATGGGTGTCCAAATTAACGACTTTTGACTGTATTTCACCATATAATGTGCACCCTTTTTTATACCAAAAACCCGAAAGATACATGTGTGATGCTCTTACTTTTGGAAGTCATTCTTTCGAAGATTTTTTCTGTGTTCGAACAATGGAATACACAATTGAGAAGAGATAAAGGGAGGATATGCATATACAGGGTTCATAACCACATTTTAGTTAAAAAAATAAGCACCTATAAGCACTTTTCAAGCACATTTTAAGAAAAAAAATAAGCACCTGTCTAAATACATAATACACAACTGCATAACTTCAAAAATTAAGACTCGTAATTTAAAATATGAGAAATGCAGTATTTATTAAGAGAGAATAAGCATTACCTCAACCATGGACAATAATTACTTTTTTTTTTAAATTTTAAATAACAGTTCAGTTTACAGAACTAAGCTATATTACAAGATTTAATGATGAAACTTCAGTTCAAAATAGAGGAAATAAATAATAATAAGGCATATTTATTCTATTCGCTTGGAACTTAATAATAAATACAATTTATTTTTCCACTCATATTGATATTTAACTAATTTAAATCTAAATTCTGAACATTTTCTAAATTTTCATCGTATATCAGTTTTCCCTTAACAGATATCGCAAGCAAAGTAATTTAAGTCAAAAAGAGGAACATTTCTGAAATCAGAAGACAGAAATTTGCTTCATGCAGTCATCCTTTAATAGTAAAAGCTTAACTACCCACATACTTGAAAATTGGCGAATATTCGAACAGTCGAGCATAACTTGAAAAAGAGGAGCGGAGGGGGGATAGACTGTAGGCGTTCTTTAGATTTTTCCGCTAAATAAATGCTTTTGACATTTCGATATGTGCATCATATAAAGACAAACCAATGGAACAGAAAAATATTCTGCTTAGCAAGCACAATAAAACTCTTTTAAGTGTTCATAAACAAATCTTGGACCGAACATCAAAATTAATTATCTCTGCAAAATATTGCAAACCCTACTTGATAATACGCAATCGGATTCAACAGCTGCCGGTATTGGGAGAATAAAGAATAAAGGAAAAGAAACAGAATTAAATAAAGGAAAAGAAAGAGACTTACCAATCTGGGGTGTTTTTCATTCTAATTTTCAAGAGACTGCATTAAATTTCCTGAATAGAATCATTCTTCGCTTAGGTTGATAGACCGCAGAACTTTTAGTCCTATTCAATCCAGATTGGAAAGTGACCCAAAAAAAAAAAAAAAAAAAAAAAAAAAGAGGTCCGTTGCTTGTTTTGCAGTGAACTGTAACAGTTTCAATATTCGAGATTTTCCGGAGAGAAAGGGGAGAACCTCCCAACCTTCGTATTGTATAATGGATTGGCCAAAAAAGTGAAATTATTTTGATTATTCGATTACTCTCCCTTTATTCAAGCCATTCCGAATATTATTAATTAGAATGCTAATATGTGTTAAAACACAACCATTTTTCAGCAGTTACTGCAACTATGTTATTATGAGCATTCATACACATACTCATAATATAAGCATAACGGTCATAATAAGCACGAATATGAACTGACCATGCGGAACGAGGATGCAAATTATTAAGGTCTTGATAGAAATTCAAACGTGTGTAGTATTTGGGTGGGAAAAAGAGAATGCCGAATGTACCGGAATTTTCTGTTTTCGCAATTCTTTGACCAACAGAACGACGGCCACCTATCTGTACTCTCCGCGCACACCAAAGGTTATGTTAATGCAAAGAAAGGGGGAAAAGCTATTTCCGGTAGTATGGTTCACTGTCTGACATTCCATATTAGGAAGAAAAGTTGTTTATTTAGTTTCAGCTTTGCTACGGGGAAAAATTTTGCATTCATTTAAAAAAAAAAAAAGTACTAAAAGCAAAAAATAAGCACTAAAAACAAAAAAATAAGGGCTTTAAAGAAAAAGTAAGCACCTATAAGGGCCTTTATATTTTATTTTCAAATATAAGGACTTATAAGCACTTATAAGGACCGCTACGAACCCTGATATATCAGAGGTTACGACAGGAATAATCAGCCAGCACCTTTAACACAATTTTACCAACAGTATTATACAAAAAATCCAGGGACTGACGAACAGATTGCATACCAATTCTATTTGTATTTAATGAGAAACTTAATCAAATCTGATGCAGAAAAAGATAGTCATGCTCCTAGAACTTGTAAAGGTCCTAAATCTATATTTGCAACTTCATAAATATACTGATAATCTTATATTTTGTTTAGTGCAATTTATAATTTATTTTAATGCAAAATTTAAAACTGCATGGCTGTACATCAAATATCTGGACACTTAAATACGAAAACTTTAATTTAAAATACTTTCTTCTGAAAATATACACAAAATAACTACAAACCTGAGAAAATATACTCAGGACTTAAAAAATTAATAAACTAAAATTTGTATCTCGTGATTATGAATTGCTTTAAATAAAAATAATAAAAAACTGAAAAAAATTAGCAAGGAAACATCATTTCTATCTTATTATTTTTCCATTTTTTTAACTACAGCATTTAAAACTTTCATACCTGTAAATACAAAACTATTACCTTTTTAATATTACGTTAAATTTAAAATTTCAAAGGTATTTATTTACACACAACAATTTTTCCTAAAGAAATATACTTTTACTTAAATAACATACCATTCGAACATTGATAATTCTTGCAAACAGCCTCTGTCCATTAAACATAGCTGGCATGAAGTAAAGGATATATAAAATCAGCAAAAAATATAATTTTTTAACAGTTGAAAATAACAATTTACCTTAAGCTATTAAATTACAAGGATTGCTTCAATTAGTTTTATAGTTACACAGAAAACAAAAACTACCAAAACTCTAATTTTTGTTAAACTTTTAACATTCAATCAGAAAAGAAATTTTGTGGGATTGATACTCATATATGGAAGCAACGGCATCGCTTACAACAAGTATTAACATAATTTATGAATTGAATGATACGCAATACAATAAAGCATTCAGAAATAAGTTCACAATAAGATTCCCGAGTAGAAACACATAAACATATACATTAAGCTATAAAACATTTTAAATTCTTATATTCTAGACCAGGGCCTCAAACTTTTTTTCAGTCACGACCCCCTTTAATCATTGAGGACCCCATAAGCATTGCGATTGCACAAATCCCACACAAGTTAAACTGTCAATTTTTTCCACTTGTACTGTAATATACTATTGCAGTTTTAGATCATTAACTTTGATTTCTAATTTTAACATAGAAAAATGTAAAAATTTTAAATAAGTAACACTGGAAATGATAGTGTCACGTGCAAAGGAAGTAAAATGAACATTTGTATATATTATAAAAAGAATGCGTCAAAACATTTTTCTTTGTCTGTATTGTCTTATCTTTACCTATTTTCAGATACACTGTGTAAAAATATTTGGTAATTGTAAAATTATTATAATAAGTTAAAGAAATATCAAAACTGCTAAAATTTTTGGCGACCACCTTCAGCAGGTTTATGAAACTGTTCTCTAGACCACAGGCTATACCGACTCTTTAACAAAACTTCGAGGTCCAAACTACAGTTAATTCATCATACCTAGCCGATGCAATTATCATGAACAGCATACACGTTTTTAAAAGAGGCAGTAATATTTCTGTAACTGGATCTTGCTAACTCTTGTTTTTTAGACTCTCAGGCAGCTTCACCTAAATTTCTTAAAACTGTTTTTAAATATTTGCAAAAATATTTTTTTTGTCCCAGAATACTGGAGATTTCTTCGGTTTGGTATGTACTTTACTTTTCAGTGGATTTATCTCTCCATTGTCATACAGTATCGGTGCAGTTTTACATTTTGATCAGATGCAAACTTTCACTCACATGTATTACACCATGAACTTTAAAGGAGGGAGAACAAAGGGCGACTGGGGATTACAGGAACAATCGCCAAATTCTGAAGAAGACTAATTACCATCCACCACCATTTAGTTTAGGTGTCACTTGTAGTGGTTTTTTTTTTTTTTTTTAAATGCTGAAGAAATAAAAAATGAGCGTTGCCCTCACTGGTACTTGAACCTTGGACCTCTCAAATATGCATCGAGTATATTTTCAGTTACACCACGACAGCATGCACAAAGGAGGAATAAAATACCTTATACATTAAATAAATAAAATTTAGTATTTATTATTTTAATAAAATCAATCAAATTCACTACAATGCTTGCAATACAAATCAGATAAACACCAAGAGATGTTTCTGTGATATTTGCAGAAAATTTACTGTCCATTCATAATAAAACTTTTATCAGAAGCTACTAAAGTTGTTTGTTGCTGGAAATTTGAAATCTTTTCATTTTGAAATTTCAAATTTAATATTTATATTTTCTAGCCATTAATTTCAAACTCTTACTGCTTTAAATTTTTTACTGCTGATACACTTTTAATAAAAAATCTATTTTTCTATTAAATTTTAAAATTTTATCTCATGCAAACAATAATGTGAAACCCTTTAAAAATATTAAATCATGAAAACTAAATAAAATTTAAAGGATACAGATTGCTTGAACTGCTTCCAAAGGATGTTCATATTCTGCTGTTCCGTGGCCTTTGCTTTTGCCTTCATTGTCAACATTTAATTCAACCTTCACTAGTTTCCCAGCAATTTTAAAAATTTCTTCAAGCTTTTTTTCAGTAACTTTATAGTCTAACTGCAAAAGAAAAGACATTAATTCTTCTTTTATAGTAATTTTTCTCTATAAGAGGACACTTTAAGAAACTAAAAGCAAAAACATTTTTGAAAAACATCTAAGTCTGATATATTCTTAAAAATTAAGCTTCTTTTTTCAAGTCATAAAATAAATTATGTCCATTTAACTGAGAAAAAAGAAAAAAAAAAAAAAAAAAAAAAAAAAAAAAAAAAAAAATCTGCAAAAAATTTTGACATAACTAAAAGTTTTGATCTCAACAGCTGTGATTTCACTTAAATATTTCTTTTAAAATAGAAAATGTTCCAGTAAAGTTTTAATTATTTTACTACAATGTACCCAAAACTATTAAACAAATGCAAAAATAAGCAAATTTCCATGATGTTTTTACCAAGCATATTAACCTCCCTTTTATATGATACACATGACAGATTTTATTGAGCAAATAACAGCTTTTATATCAAATGGAACTAAAATTCTGTACATCTATACAAATAAAAAGTTACTCAAATGTGATATACACTTTTCAGTAAATGCTATTTTATTCATATATATATAAAATTCAATAATAAATCAATAAAAAAGGTACATTTAATACACACTAAGCTTCAATCAGTTACGTCATTTACAACTTGGAAACTATCACTCCAAAGAATTTTTGCATTTTTATTATTATTGCACCTATCATTTATATGGCACTGAAATTACTGCCAATTTTTAAAAAAGAAAAGCAAACACGTTTACTTTGCATCTTTTCATAGCTTCTTTTAATACAGCATCAAATACTTTTTCTCACACCAGAGACTTCATTTATATACCCCTAAACTTACAACTTTAAACATATTATGCCTCCTATTAATGTGATATATTCTAAAGCTGTCAACCCTACTCACAGCTTTTCTCGTGAAAAGAAGACTACATAAGAATCATGTTTAGAACTGCTGAGTTAAATAGCTACAGTTTGTGGCATGCATTAATATCATTTAAATAATGGGAAACTGAAATAATGCAGAAGATGTAGATTTTTCCTGCACATTTAGGTGCTTTCTGATTAACCGAATCCCTCCAAATTCATGAAAAAGTTCTGATGAAGCAATGCACCAAAAAGTATTTATATGGCAACTCGCATATGCAAACAGCCTCTACATGTATGTTTCAGTATACATGTATTGCACTTTGAAAGTCGAACAGTCATTTTCCTGATTAATATTTCATTTTTAATTGAGTACATATGTTTTTTTGTCATAACCAATTGCAATGGGACTGTACAGTCCACTTTCTGCTGGGGGGGGGGAAGATTTCTTTCTTCAGAAATATCGCATTTTTTCCAACAATACAAAAATTTCATTTTATTAAGTTACATACTTCTTAAACAACTGATTCTTATGGAAATGAAATTTGAAAAACTCCAAGCAACACTTAGGATGCAGATTGGAAACTGGTTTAAAGACAACTGCATTTGCTTTATAACTGCTGCTCACTTTATTTAATGGTGGACAAAGGAATATATATATACCAGTGAAATTCTGGGAAGAATTGAAATTATTCCCAAACACAACTCCAAGTGTGTCTTTTATGGGAAAAAGAAGAATGTAAGAAAATAGGGGGCAGGAGTGTATCGTTGAAATAGATATAAGGATACTAAAACAAATGTTTCAGTGAGCTCTTGAAAAAGACCGATGTTTGAATGATCACAAAGTACAGATATTTATGATAATACCAATAATTTTTTAAAATACAATTACTCACATTAGAAATAAAAACTTTATTATTAAGCGGCCCACAGATACCCAGAGATTTCAGAAATTCAGGATTAAGCCCATATGTATTAAATGGTGGATCCGGTCTGAAATCATTTGCTCCAAATCCATCATTGTTACGCATAAATTCCCGTTCCGAATTTCTAACTGATGTTCTCCTTCTGTCCATCTCACCAGAGTCCTAAAAAATAATAGCAAATGGTAAATCACAAATGTTAGTTAAATTACCTAGGATAATATTTTTTAAACATTACACTAAAATTTTGAATTCTGCATGTTTGTTAAAAGAAAACTTCCATGATATATGAAGCCTAGTGGTTTATCTCAAACAATTAAAATTTCAAATACAGTGAAAATCGTTTCACACTAAACTGAGGGGATTGAAATATTTTTTAGTGTTACTGTAAAAAAACATATTCAACAAAATTAAGTTTATTAGAGTATATTTTATTTACATAGATATGTATAAATCCATGTATTTAATAAAATCAATGAAACAAAAACATACACAAGAACTTGATGAAATTTAATACAAAATTTTCAAGTTTTTTGAAAAACGAAGCATTTATTGAGTTTTTGGAAAATAATCTGATATTTTTCTTTGCATTTCTTTTTTAGCATCAAGCTGTTAACAAATATCTTGATGCTGTCCATTTTATTATTCATTTCACTATTGAAATGTGTGTCTAAATAACTGAGCATACTTTTCATAATGTTCCTCATTTCAGATGACATGGGAACAGGAGCAGCATTATTCATTCCATTTTTATCGTTGGAATCTCCATCAATGATATTTTCTGAACTTTGAAGAAACTTCAAAATGTCTTTGTCTGCCATAATTGGAGCTGTACACACATTATCACCATCTACTGGAATGAATTCTTCAGATGATACAGTAGGACAATCCAATAATACAGAACCTTTCTCAAACATTTCATCAAGTGTCCGCTCAGTTTCAATATCCTCCTTCTCCATTTCTTTTGGCACCAAAGAACTTTTGAGAATCCTGCATGACAAAAACAATTTTTAATCGTCCTTGAAGTCACTGAATTCTATGCAGAGTGCAACATATGAAGAGCATCTAAAAATTGATCATGAAATTTTCATTTGTTTTGATTGAAAGTAAATTTTTATGCAGAAGCAACTGCTTCCAGCATAAAAATTTCATGTTTTGTATAATCCCTTGATCAAGGCTGCAAAATACTTTTTGTATTCGTAGGCAAAAAAATAAGTTTATAGCTTTCTATACAATGGGTGGGGTGACCCGGACGATTATCAATTATCATTGCAACCTTATGATTTTTCTCGTAAGAATTGGTGAACCAAGGTGAATCCAATTGGTAAACATCATAGCTACCATCCATGCCTTTTTGTTTGCTGTACATTCGACAGATGATGTTCTTACATTCTTAACACAGTGGTTTCAAACTTTTGCCAATACCAAAAATAGAGGTAGTTTTTTTAGAACTGACTGAATTCCATCCTACCAATAATGTAATCCGTTCTTTAGACAATTTCCTGCCTGAACATGATTGTCCCTTAAACGATAAAGTTTTATTGTGTAAGCAACAGTTTCGTCCACATCGAAGACATCTTTCGTTTCAGATTCTTTAAGTATAGTAACGTAGACTGAAACCAGTTTGCTGTCATGGTCGAACTTCATTAGCTTCAGCGCAAGCATATTTTAGTACTATGCCATTTATTTTCTTCAAACGTTCTAGTTTAGCAAGTTCATTGCTTCTTTTTAGCATTAAAAGTCATGATATAGGAGCATTGCGAGATCTTGCTTGTTTGAACCAAACAAGTAAAGCCATCTCTAAATCCTCGTGCTTGGTCATTCTCATCTGTTTTCACTCTGGCTCAAACCTACTCCGTTCATACATTTCCGTTATTTGTCCTCTTTTTTTTTTAATTATTGATGATACTGTAGAGTTAGTAATAATAATAAAAAAAAGTTTACAGGATTCCATTTTCCATCTTCAGTTTTTGATCAACGGCCTCAAGAAGCCCCGAGTTTTCTGCCATTGTGCTAGTAAAACATTCTTCTAAAATAGAAAAAAGAGGGGACGCGAACCAAACTCTATGATCTTTACTCTGCGATGCACTTATCACCAAATTCCAAAGCCAACTGATGAGAGATGATATGTTTTTGTGTGGTGTTTGTAGGGGGTGGAGGGTGAAAGTAACTTAAACATAATTAACTCGTGTCACAGGCTATTCTGAGGATACCAAGTTAATGTTTTTTGTACGAAACATGCAAAACCAACTCTCTTTCATTTCACGCCCCTTTTAAATCTCGCCTCTGTGGCTCGCGTTTTTAATATTTTGTTCATTCCCAAAACAGAAATCTTTTTGTGTTAAGCGATTTTCGTTTCGTGTTAAGATTTAAAAAAAAAAAAAAGCATGAAAATACATGGGACCGTTGTATTATTTCGTCTTAAGCATTTTCGCATTAAACATATTTCACTGTAGTGTTATTTGAAGGTGGGCGCTGCTAACAACTGTGAAGGTTTAGAATAAAACAACTCTCACTGTTACGATTAGTAAAAAAAACTCAAAAATTTTCGAATAGCTACCACCCACTCTTATCTGCACAAACTTATCAGCACATTGAAAAATCATAAATGGTGTTGGAATGATACACATATGCTGAAGATTGGTAGTGTAAAATGTTTGCATACAACAGCATTGTAAACAAACAGTGACTTCATACAGAGGAAGTTTACTAACACAGCCAAATTCACAGAGATAGACTCCAGAAGAGTTCACTAGGCTGGCGAAAATAATCAAAGTGGCACCAGCGGCTCGACACGAAGCCAAAGTGACTGTGTGGTGTAGCATCACAACTACATTAATTTTCGGTCCATACTTCTTTGAAATGGTCACCTCCACAGGTGTGAAAATGTGTTCCATCACAAGTGCTCATTACACAATATTATTACAGAATTGTGCAATTTACAGAACACAGATAACACATTCAGTATATAGAATTACATACTTCCACAACAGTAGCAGCGCAATGTCGTTAACCCTTTCCGGCACGCTACTCTTTAAAGATGGAATTTTACCTAGGCAGTCTATTTATGCCTAGGAGAGTATGCAGGTATACTTGACAAGGGTTTACTTGATCTGGTAGAAGTTATATAGTCCAAAACCCCCGACAGATGTGAAGCACATAGTTTCGTTTTTTTTTCTGACACCAGTTGTTACGTTATTTTCTTCCTTCACGTTTGAACGGGGTTCATGTGAATTTGGAGTGAATAACGACGACACTTGATGAAGTATCAAAACATACTTTATTGGCCGGTATTAATCAGGACAACTCCAAAAGCTCGTTTACAGTCATCGAACTGTTATAAACATGCTGACAGGATCAGCGACACAGCTTTCAGGTTATCAAGCTATCACGGTGGAGACAGCTTCACTGCAAAGCACCAGAGTACAGCTCCTGACCCTGCTTGGTCGTTCTCGGAACTCATGTACTCTCGAGACTCTCCACGCTATAACTCGTGACGCACTCGACGACATACATAGAGCATAGCTCTCGACTCTTCGGTTCAGTCGTTCCCAGAGCTCAACACGCTCTCTCAACGATGCACTAACCACGATACACAATACATTGAGAGATTCCTTCGGTGCATTCGATGATGCACTCGGCACTCGCTGGCCGCTTGTCAACTCGATCGTCTCCGCACGGACTAACTAGATGAGACACAACGTCACTCTAGAAGAGGCACTCTCTCGGCACACACTAACTGACTGCGAACCAGCAGCATTTATATAGCGTTTGGCTTGTGTTCGAGAACAATCCGGTAAGAATTCGTTCCAGAAGGTTCTCCATCCGTCTATGGTGTATTGCCAATTTTGTTGACAAATGGGCAATTTCTCGTCAAATGTGGCAACCCTGCCTTCCCTTGCCATTTTATAGCAACCTTAAAACTGCATTGCGGGGAAGCTATCTTACAGCGCCTGTACAATTTCTAACAATATTATTGTTTTGTCTGAAAGTAACTACAATATCAGACAAAGGTTTAAATAAGCCTCTTATTTAAAAAACTTAGAACATAAAGGCATTTTCTGATACTAACAAAATCAATTACAGCTCATGGTGACGCAATTAAACAAGAACAATCAAATTCAAACTAATAATGTGGACTAGTGGTCAAAGATTATACAATTTAATTTTAATTTAATCTGGCTCAACTCTATCATATGAGAAAATAGAAATGGGAAATAATAGTAAAGACTGAAATCATAAGCAATTAGGTAATTTACATAATAATAACTGCACATATCTTTGAAGACTAATTTTCTTTATGTACTCACAGTTTCTTTCTTCAACTTGTTTCCTTTTCATTTTAGAATTTTTGGATTTAATTAAGGATTTCTGTTATTTTAAAAAACACTAAATTCATTTAGAATGTTCAGAAAAGGTGGATAATTTTATTTTAGTAATATGAACATTCAGAAGAAATATGGAATACATATAGTAAAGGCCAGTTACAGAGCTAATGTGGCAGAATTTTTAGAATTTAGTGACACACCGAACAAAAAAATCTAGAATTGGCAAAACTTTTAGAATTTTGAGCAGGCACTGGAAGCAGAATTTAGAAAGGCACTAGACAGCAGAATTTAGGATCCACAGAGATTGCATCAGGTGGGAAAATGCCTATTTCCAGCTACGTGTATGATGCATTAAGACATATTAGATGAATCTTTTAAATATTAAGTTTTCAATTTCTTGTTTAATAAAAAATCCCTTTCTATAATGCCTGCCCATGTGATAAGATCAGAAGCATTTTTGATATTTTCCATGCTTGTGTCTAGTGAAAAGTAGAGAAAATAAAGGGAAGATAAACATGTTAAGATTCTAGTATCAGAAGTAAAAACATTTAAATATTATGCTTTCATTGTTCTTCCAGACGTTCTCCAAAAAGTAAGAAATTCATTGCAAACTTTCTGTAAAATACATCCATTACGTACAGATACCATGGAGACATTTTTCATTTTGTCACATATTTCTCGAATCTTCTAGAATCATGGGTCTATAAATCTTGCCTTCAAATTTTTCTAAACTTTCCAAGCTGCAATGTCTAAAATCCTAAAGAAAAATTTACCTACCAATTCTGTAACAGCAAAAAAGTAGAAATATTTGGAGGGGAAAGGGAGGGAAAATTTAATTTAAGTGTAAAATTAATTTTATATAGAAAACATGCATACTCTGGGAATTTTGAATATTCTGAGACTCTGAGACATAGGAAAAACTCTTACTATGAAAAAATTAAAAAGAAAACATTTTTAATTAATTACATAGCTAATTTTGCTTTTGCTAAGAGCTGTTTCGTAAATTGTGCTTTATAGCATTATATCTTGTTTATTTTTTAGATTCAAAATACTGTACATTAATAAGTTGCCAAAATGAAACTATAATATGGCAGCGAAAAATAAAAATGTTTTATTTTAATGTTATTTTTTAAATATAATTTCAATATATTACCTTTATTTTAATGAAATTAATCAATGTTACGATGTTTTTAAAAAAATCGTCGAAAAATTCTCAGATCTCGGAATTAAAAAGTTTCTACAGAAACCGATCTTAAAATCGCCAAAATATTGAAAAGTCGCCAAATTTAGAACCGTTTAATAAAAGAATTCACATCCCCAAAAAGCGAAAAATTATTTATCTTTCTTAGAAAAATTGAATTTCAAAATGCTTATGTTTCACTTCTTGCTTAGAAACTCAAGTACCTCATCATTTATATTAGAAATAGAAACAAATTATAACTCATGAACCCATTCAAGATAACCATATATACGTCAGTGAATCACCAAAAATATTCCTCTAAAATGCTAATTAACACTCAAAATGACAGTCATAAAAACAGACAGAAATTTCATTAATTAATTGAAAATTAAGGACCTTCTGCTGATTTTGGCCAAAATTAAGGACTTTTAAGGACCAAAAATCATTTCCAAAAAATCTAAGGACTCTTAAGGATTGTACAAACCCTGTAAGTGAAAGCAAAGCACAGCGGTCTTCAAAACCAAAAACAGAAAAGAATAAAAACAAATATAAATAAATCGCACTCTCAGCCTCTCCAGTGTTTGAAGCACAAGACCGGATTCTCTGACTCACTCCGACGTGACAGGCGCTACCTGTACAGTGTGTTCAGTCCGAACACACCATACACTAAGGTTTCTTTATATGCGATATTTCAAAGATAAAAATTAAAAGTAATACAGAATAGACAGATTAGCATATAAACAACAAAACTATATAAAGATTTTTTTAATTGTTATTTAAAGAAAATCTGAAACATTTCTTTGAAAATCAGCGTCTTTAAAAACAGAATATATCTCAAACTTAATGATTTGCTTGTGTGGTACTGCCATCTATTATTCATAAAAGAGATTAAAAGTAACCATTAGTGTAGTTTTCGTGATAGTTATCGATTATTTTTAGTGTCTAAAGAGGGAATAATTTTGGTGTGTTCACTCCGAACACACTGCGCCGGAAAAAGTTAATAACTTGCATGAATGCAAGACGGTGCTCCTCCATGAACCACATGCATTCAGTAAATGTTGAAACAGCATTTTAGAGATTGAGTCATCTCCTGTCACTCTACAATTCTGTGGGCACTGTAATGCCCCGACCTCACTCTGATGAACCTCTGGTTCTGGGGTTATCTATAATCTAAGGTATACACATCAAATCCATAAGATTTATCAGAATTGAAAGATTCCAAAAATGTGAAGTTATACAGTTCTCCCCCCCAGTGATGTTACATTAGTCATTGTTTTCAATAATCTCCCAAATGCAACAGATTATTGTCTGTGAAGGTAAGCAAGCTGGAAACCTGTTAGTCAAACAAAAAAGTTTTTCCACCTCTCCTCTCATGTTGTCTTTGTTGCAATGCTCTTGCAAATGTTTTACACTCAGAATTTTTGTCATATGCTTATTGTTCCAATGCCATTTGTGGTTCATCAATGTGCTGATCAATTTGCACAGGAAAAAAACTGCATATTGTCTTTTAAAAATTTCAATTTTTTTTTTCATTGTAGCCATAACTAACTATGAGAACTCCATTGTTTTAAGTCATTAAATCTTCAGTGCACAAAAATACCTGAAATTTCATTTTGAATGGTGGGTTCTGATATCGGGATGGTTTTTATTACCACTCTGTATTATTATCATAAGATACTTGTATTCAGTACTACAGTCAAAAGTCGTTAATCCGGACTCATCGGGACTTCGGCGATTCCGGATTATCGATTTCATCAGTTTAAATCTCGTAAGATGGCATGCAGAAACTCTAAAATTAAAAATATAAAACCATAATTAATGAAATAAAGAACAAATATGATCTAAAGGGTATCAAAATTTACCCCCCCCCAAAAAAAGAGCTTAATATTTATTTGTGTACTTTATTAAACATTTCTTTCAATGTAAGTTAAGTTGCTTCGTTTTATGTGATAATACTTTCTCTTTAATTATATAAACAGACATAATTTCTTTTTCAGTTACAAAGTTCCGCTGTTCCAGTCCCGTTAATTGCTGTGCCGAGAATACCGACTAACTTGTCAAACGAAATTTTTTCGTTTTCACTAACCTCTCTGTCACATTCTTCATGTCTTTATCCATTTTTTGGAGCAGTTCCACTTTTTGTTTGTTGGACATCGAAACATACTTTCGTTTTGTAGATCCTCTGGAAGTTCCAGCATCGGAAATTCTATTTGACATAATCGAAATTTCAGGTTTACTTTTATAAAATTGCTCTTACAGTCTGCAAAAAATAATAAGCGGGATCCAAATTGAAGATTATGGAACAACGCAATCATTAACATTAACTGAAATAGATAATTAGATAATTTTAGCTTACACCGTCCGTTATACATTAAACGCGCAGGCGAAAACGTATTCTGCACTTGCGCACACGCATATGCGCAGTAGTCAAGGTCTTACGCGCACGCGTAAAACACCTGTGCGCATGTGCCAACGCGGCGCATGCGCAGAAAGTTTTTAGCTTTGAGGTCCAGATTATAGATCATTCCGGATTATGGGTGTCCGAATTAACGACTTTTGACTGTATGTCTATTATGTTGCTTGTTACATAATTCACTATCATATACCATTAGACTTATTATGCATGTTTCTTCACACTTTAAAATAATAAAATTTTTGAATATATGCTTTGGCATTACAGAAAGTCACGAGGGAGTCAACAACTTTCTAAAATAAAACAGATGTAGGAAGTAAAAAAACTTCAGATATGCTGCTCTAATATATTTTTACTTAATTTTAATTTGTTATATATTAGATTTTGCAGAGATTAGAATCTTCAATTACAAGGTAATAGCACTTTTATCATCTTATAACTACATATCCTAAATACTTTACATTATAAATCTGATAATATTTAATTTAAAAAAAAAAAAAAAAAAAAAAAAAAATTACAAAAATAATATACGGGTTTAAGTGATGGAAAAAAAGCCTAAAATGATTTAATACACGTTACAGATATGAAATATAGATTTGGTACTCACTATTTTCACATTAAGAGGTCGCCCACGAAGCTCATGTTTGTGCATTATTTCAACTGCTTTTAAAGCAGTCTCGTGATCCTTGAACTCAACAATGCTAAAAATAAAAATTTTAAACAATTTTAATAATTAAGAAAAACATGCAAATATCAGTAACTTAAGGTAAGATAAAACTGCAATTTAAAAGAAATGTCTATAGGAAAAATTTGATGTGATTGCAAATAATTTCAAACATTTTCCAAAGCATTATAATTTTCCTCCAAAAATATTTCATATTCTGAAAAAATAATGCTAAATCTTTTAAATACAATACATCTGACTCAAAAAATACTTGCTAAATCACTGGCATCACAAACTACAAATTTAATTTAAAAAAACAACACAAAAAAAAGATTACTCCACTTATTCATCTACACTCACCTTAATAATTACAAAGTACTTAAGATGCATTCACACTGGTTTGTTGGTGCAAAAAGCAGAAACAAAGAAGGGGGGAAAAAAAAAAAAAAAAGATTTCTGCATCCATCAATTCACACCAGAGTGGAAAGTTTCACGGTTAATCTTTAGATTATGGTAACTTGGCGGTTTTTTGGCGAAAATTTGGCGACCAACTCTGCTACAGCATCCTGCTAGTTTTGTTTTGGACGCCATTTTGTTTTCACGAAGTAAAGGCATGTTTTTTTTTTCCCCCTTAACATTTTTTCCAACAATCTGCTAGCCGAATTATACTTATACTAGAACTTTTATGGAACAAAAATGCTTAATCATGACGAAGATTAGGTGCGAAATTGGGAGAAAGTGCAGAATCGCCCAAACTGCTTTGCCGCGTTTTTAAGAATTGCACATACACGGTATAATCCATGTACACGTCGACCTATTTTCACTTAAAAAAACATCCCAGAATTGCACAAAAATGGTACTGCGCACACTCTTGACTTTATTCATGTACACTGCTAAAGTCCTAGCTAGTAACCTTTATTGCCTTACTAAAATGTTGCCATACTACCTGTTACCATATTACAAAGATTAGCCAATTTCACTTTATAAGTTGTCAAATGCAAGCACTAGATGGCTCATCATATTGGAGACTTGGAGGGGGGTGAATTTTTGTGTGGTAGTTTGACTTTTTACAATTACATTTTTTAATTAAAATGGGTTTAACTTTTGCCAGATTAAAACTTATTTTACTTCTTGCTTTATGTAAGAGAAGCGGAATGCAGTGGTTTATACTAGCATGCGAGAGATGACTGCAGCATGGAAATGCAAATAATTTAACTGAAGACACGCGCTTTAACATATCGAAATTTCTATTAATTACTTTTGCATGACACATCATCAATTTGACGGATTCCTAGCCCTCATTGAATCATTTACCAAGTAGAACACTATTGTTGTCAGAATATTGCAGAAAAGGTTGGTTGTATATACTTAATTTATGAATTTTGTTGATGGTTAATTAAAATAGGATTTATAACATCACTAAACTAAATATCACACTTGGAAGGGAAAAAGTACTTATTTTTAAGAAGAGAAATTTAAAAATAATGTTTCAGTTTCTGACTTACGTACAAATTCACCTTAAATGTAACTGTAATTATTTCATTTCAATTTAGCCACCCATACATTAATGAAGAGCCACTATTTAATGTTTTACTTTAAAAAGTCAATTTTACATAAAACTCGTCTAAGTAACAGCATTTTACTTCTTTTCTGTGTTAAAAATTTAATCCCACAACTAATAAATTTGTCAATGCTCATGCTAAAGTTCTTTAAATTAATGAAAAATTAGCATCAAGATCAAACATCTGCATAAGTTCATGTATAAGTTGTCTGAAAAATGGCCATGCATGTTCAGAAAAACAAACATGAAGCCATTTAAATTGCCTAAAAAATGCCATAAAATCAGCTACATACTAGCGTGCTTCCTTTCTGTATAAATAACAGTCTTCTTAATTTTTTTAAACAAATGGTTTACTCGTCACACTTCATTTAAAATTTCGAACTCATTAAATTTTTTTAATTAGGTAAAACAGCAACATTATATTAAAACCAGCATCACTTTTCTTTAGTCTCACGTCAATTAAAGTAGAATCAGATCACAGTAGTCAGATTATGAATTGTGCCAAAGGCTCGTTGTCAAAAGAAGGATAATGCACACAATGCCGAGTGAAAATTATGTTTATAGTCAATAAAAAATAAATGCAAACTTCTTCTGATAGATTTTAAAAAACAATGGTGTATTCATACTATTATCAAAGGTGGGGAGAAAGCAAGGCTCAAACCTGCAATACAAGTCCATAGTAGCAGCTGAATTTTCTACTGAGCGTGTTACCTCTGCACTAAGGTGTCTTGTGGTGAAAGACCGTTTTCACACTTTATCTTCAGGAAACTGAAGAAGCATCTGTGCTACTCTGAAAGTAGCGATAAATTTTTCTGTAAATATTTTTAAAATATCTACTCCATTACAACACCACGATGGATGACATTTAAATCCACAAACTCCAGAACGATTTATCCATCAGGCAACAAAAGCAACCTTAAATTGATGTAGATAGATTTTTAAGAAAAATTCGAAATCCATCACTATTTTCTCACAACAATCTACTGCTTTAGATTATTCTGTAAAAATTATCAAACATATGTCATTTATGATAAAGATTACTACTGCTAATAAACTTGAAAATTTTCCTTTATATAATTTATTAAAACTATTCTATTAACATATGCTTTTTTTAATATTATCTGAAATTTTCCTTTAAGGTTAGTCCACTTTTTATTTTCCTCAAGAAGAATTTTTGAAAGTGTAATCATTTAAAAACCGTGGTATAAAATGGACATCTGAAACAAGAAGCCTGAAACTGACAGGGCAAGCAAGAAAAGTCAAGGCAACTCATGTGGTATCCAGTCATCAGGAAAATACCAAGTCCAAGCTTGCTTCTGACTGGTCATTGCTTTTCACCTGAATGTGTTCGTGTGAACTGGGCTTTATATTTATGAACAAAGAAATTTGAATAAGAACTGAAGATATTGCCAAATCATGAATCTAGAACAGTTTTAAATTGCCCATTTATAGCAAAAGCATATGCTCAAAGTATTGTGCACATTTCTTTTATAAAAATATATAAGAATAAAAAAACACAATACAAACTAAACCTATAACAAAACAAAATTAATATGTTGGTTGAGTACAAATAATTTCTACTAATTTGTGAATTATTAAATTCCATTTTTGCTAACTTTTCTTATCTCTTCAATTAGTTATCTTCAGCCAATTTCAGTTTTCAGTTACTAATTATTATTGCACAAAATGTACTTCACTCAACAAGACGAAGAGACTGAAAAATTGCAGTACAATATTTCACAAACTAAGACAAAAGTACGGGTATCTGTTTCTACAGTGCAAACTGTTGGTACAAACTGATCTAAATTTGAATTTCAGCTATTTATCTGCTCAATAAATTCTTTAAAGTTTATGATACTTTGATACTTTTGAAATTCCGCAAGAAAATGGATGGTAAAGGCCTCGCTAATGTCACTTTTTAAAATCCTCCAAAATCATTTCATGATGTTCAATTCTAAGTTTAGAAATATTGGATATACTTATTCGCGCCTGCTGCACAAAGTTTTTTTTTTTTTTTTCAAGCGTAAAGCAAAGAAAATAAAAATGTTCACAAAAACTGAGCCCAAAGTTAAATTTGCTAACATCTTGCTTATTTATGGCAAAAATATCCAGGTCTTCTCGGAACCTTCCCCTCTGATGAGTAAGTGATTTCTTACTCACCCTTGCAGTGCCTGCTCCACTGCCCTCTCTCGTCGTAATCTTACTGACACGTCCACTTCCTCCCACTTGCCATTGTTAGTTTAAGCCTGATAGTGTTTGCATACCGGTCAGAGTTAATTTCTTATCTTGTATTGTGTTCAGTGCTTGTGCTTTTTGGTTTTGTGTTTTTCGTTACCGATTTAAAATGTCAGGAAATCGAAAGAAGGTTGTGCTGACAATTGCGCAAAAACTAGAATTAATTTCTAAAGTAGCAAATGGCGCTACAAGGCAGAAGATGGAATTGGATTACGGAATCTTGGAAACAACAGTGCGTGACATTCTAAAGGAAAAAGACAAAATGGTGAACTTTGCATGATTGTCGGACACTGCTTCCACAATGAAAACGCGAAAAACTATAAAACCTTTGATGAGCTAGACACGGCATTGACAGAGTGGTCAACTCAACTTGGCGACTGCTTTTTTTAATATTTATTCTACATAAAAATTGTAAAGGCAGTTACATATAATGTTAAATTTGGGTTGGCTTTTCAATTCAGAAAAGTGACGATTTGGGCATAATTACTCAGAATTCCCCCCCCCCATGAACCATGTTATTAAACTAAAAATTATATGTGAGAATAACAGATGACTACTTAAGAGGACCATGAATTTAAAAATATCTTTGAGATTGAGAATAAAATATAAACCTTTGAACCCAGAGTCACGTGATCGCACATCTGGTCGAACGAAGTCTCTCCCTTTTTTTTCTGCCGCGCCTACTTGCCGAAAAGAATCCAGAAGAGAATGTCCGAGAACCGGGGGAATGAGTCATAACTCGCAATAAGGAAAGAACAAAAAAGAAGTTTTTTCCCCCTTTTCAGGCATTATCACTGTCCCGAGCACAAAACCCTGAGAAGTAAGGTAAAATTTTCAAAAGGCTTCGATGTTTCAAAAGGTTCCACAATATTCTTACATAGTTATTTTCATTTATATTTACTCCCATTTCATGTATTTTCTCAGACGCGAAGAAAAACAGAAAAAAATGCCTGAGTATTAGAATGTGTGGAGAACAAGGTGAGAGGAAGACTTAATAAATCAGAACTTTAAAAATACTCAGTTTTTCCAAAATCCAAAGAATACATAAGCTGACGCTACTAGTACTAGTTGTCCATCAACGTCTCAGCTACCATTGAAATTACCAAAAGAAGCTAATAATCAGAAAGAATTACAAAGTGTTTTCACCTAGAAATTATCTTAACTTCAATGCCAGCCTGTCGAAAAAAACAGAAATACTATCAAAATCTACAATTTTTCCTGTAAATACACATTTGCTTGCGTCTGA